ACCACCGTGCCACCGTGCTGCCGCATTGAATCATATCTGTTATTAATCTCTGTCTCTCTTCCACAGCATGTCTTTTATCCTGTCTTCCTTCTCTCACCCCAACCGGTCGCAGCAGATGGCCCCACCCCTCCCTGAGCCTGGTTCTGCCGGAGGTTTCTTCCTGTTAAAAGGGAGTTTTTCCTTCCCACTGTCGCCCAAGTGCTTGCTCATAGGGGGTCATATGATTGTTGGGTTTTTCTCTGTATCTATGAAGCGCTTTGACTTCTGTTGTGATTTGGCACTTAGTATGAGCTGCCCACTGTGTTCCCATAAGGGCAGGATTCCAGCAGGATCTCAAAATTATTTACCCCAAAACCTCCACAGTGTCCAGATCTCAATCTAGTAGAGGACCTTTGTGACATGGTAGAATTGGAGGTTTTTTTACCGTGGATGTGCAGCCGTGTAAACTGCACAACAACTGTGATGTTTTCCTGTCAATATCAACGGAAACCTTGGTCCATATTGACATGATAGCACCTTGTTGAATCTGTGCCCAGTGACATGGCTGAGTGTATATTTAAAGTTCAGTAAAATCCTGTGTAAAAGGGCATCAAGTTCACTAACTGCATAATGTTTAAGTTGATGAACAATTGTGTTACACAACTGAGATCATAATACAGACCTGTATAATCATGATTAATCACAATTCAACACATGGCAGTTTGTAACATAGTCACTGTCACATGTTTTTGTGTCCCTAAATATAACTTCACCAGATTGATCTCATATTTACTAATAGTGATGATCATGATGATGAGGTTCACAAAATGAATGAGCAACTCCTGGATGGCAAAACCTTCAACTTTTAAAAGGCACAGGTTCTAATTTGGAGCAAACAATCTCACCATTCACATCAGAGACCAAAGCTCATAGACCTCACAAATGTTATCAGACCATTTGTATTGTTTTTAAATATGTTAAATTTTTTTTTTACATGGTTAAGTGTAGTGATTTTAGTGATTGGGGTAAGGAACTAAAAACTACTGATTAGTTTTAGAAAAAGATCATTCAGGGGCACATAGAGAGAGAAAGATGCACCAAAGACGCACCAGATTCACCTCTGGAGAACCAGGGAAAGAAAAACTAGACGATGAAAAAACCGAACCTACTCCTAATTCTAATACATGCCCCAAAAAATCATATGGTAAAATTGTAATATAATAAAGTCTGCAAGTAGATAAAACCACCCACCTGTTTCCTCGTGCAGCCTGTATAATATGATAAACTGACTTTATGGCTTGCAATGTAAACAATACTTACGTGGCCTTCATGATGTGTTTATGTTGCTTGTTTTTATGATGTAATAAAGTTGTGGTATGTCATATTGTGCATGTTATGGAGTCTTTACTGCACAGCACCTTGTAACTCTGCAGCACATATATACAATAAAACAGCAGAATGAGTCAATGCAGTTTATGTAATGGAGGCTTTTACTTTTGCATTGTTATCTTGTTTGGCTGCCAAGGAAGTGCTCATAAAAATGCTTAAAGACTAAAGATGTTAATTTCTTAGGGTTCATTTAGGGTTTATGATTTAAACTGCTTATCCAAGGCTCCAGAAATCTGCAGACAGACTTTATTAGCTGGATCAGCACAGAGGAGAGATAAGGCTTCAGGAAACCGAGGCTTTCAGTCACTCTGAGTTTTGGCTCGATCTTTTAAATCCCTGAGTGTAAATCATCCTGTTACCTCAGATAAGTGTCTAGACTATAATAAACACGAAACTTGGTTTGGCTTTGTCACCGTGAGGCTGCTCACAGGGTGACGAACAGATAACCACCCAGCAAAAGGTATCATGTTAAATCACAAGTCTGGTGACATGCTACAGGGAGTGCAGAATTATTAGACAAGTTGTATTTGTGAGGAATAATTTTATTATTGAACAACAACCATGTTCTCAATGAACCCAAAAAACTCATTAATATCAAAGCTGAATGTTTCTGGAAGTAGTTTTTAGTTTGTTTTTAGTTTTAGCTATTTTAGGGGCATATCTGTGTGTGCAGGTGACTA